GATCTATTTGGCCAGCTCCAAGGAGCTCGTTACTTCTTTAAAAATAGATCTAAGAATCGGTTATCATCAACTTCGAGTCCGAGAAGGCGACATTTCAAAAAACTGCCTTCCGAACTCGTCGCGGCCATTTCAAATTCATTGTGATACCCTTCGGTATAACGAATGCTCCCACACTATTCATGGACCCTACAAACCAAGTTTTCCCAACCATTCCTAGTTAGCCTTTTCATTATTCTCATCAATAACATACTCGTCGGCCCACGAAGCAAGAACGAAACACTGTCAACATCTACGACCAGCCTTGAAAACATCAAAGTCGGAGAATATCGCGAAGAAGGCACTGCATGGATGGATAAAACTCTCGAAGTTGAAAGATGAAGCTTATAGGTACGCAAGTTAAATTGGGAGTTAACTGGGTGGTCTTCGATAGGTTAACCCAAGCTGCCTATTTCCTGCTAATACTAAAATCAAACAAGACAGAAAGGTTTACATGCATCTATACCAAGGAGATCGTGAGACTCCATGAGATATCGGTATCTACTATCTCGGATCGAGATAACAGGATTACTTCAAGACTTTCACAGTCACTTCCGAGGGCTATGGGAACATAGCTAGATATGAGCGTTTCTTACCACCTTCAAACCAATAGCCAAGGCAAACGAACCATTCAACCACTTAAAGTCATGCTATCAGTCTGGGTGTTTGAACTCAACAAGTCAGGGAATACCCAGTTTCCCTTGGCTGAATCCTTATACAATAACAATTATCGCACGAGCATCAAGATTGTTCGTTTCGAAACTCTCTATAGTCATAAATACATATCACTCGCTAGTACTCTCATGAGACCAGAAACCATTTGCGAAGCAACAGAGAAGTTAATCCAAATCAAAGCCTGACTTCAAGCATCGCGAGACCGACAGAAGAGCTATTCCGACAAGCGGCATAAGCCAATAGGATGTCAAGTCGGGGATCGCATGTTATTAAAGGAATCTCCTTGGAAAGGAATGATTCTCCTTAGAAAACGAGAAAAACAAACCCACGATACATCGGACTGTTCGAGATTTTTGCTCGGATTGGTCCAAAGACTTATAGGCTGCAGCTGCCTATAGAGCTCAGCAACGTACACCATGTGCTCAGCGTATCGAATCCAAAAAAAAAAGTGCCTATCAGGTAAAACCCTTATCATTCCTTTATAAGGGATTGGAATAAACAAGAATCTCATGTTCGTCAAAGAACGAGTCGAGGTGTTTTAGATAGGGAAGTAGAGCATACAAAACAAAGCCACGTTTCGATTATGAAGGTTCGATGGAACACAAAGCATGGACCGAAATTCACATGGGGAACGCAAAGATCAGATGAAGTACCTATTCTCTCATTCATGAAACTATCATTCGAAAGAATTTCGGGACGAAATTCCCTCTAATGGGGGGATTATGTCACAACTAGCATTTTTGCTAGGAAATTCTACTCTCATGCAATCATTCAACCCGTATAATGATTTGGAACTCTAAGCAAATATCATACTTTATACTCATTCAAATACATCTCTCATGTTCAACAAAGAGTTTGAAACTCTAAAAATCCCGATTCAAGTTTGTTATGGACTATGAATTCTTTATTGGACCTAATGGGCCAATAAACCCTTAACTTAATTCTTTAAGATAAGAGTCTTAAGTTGGGCCCTATTTGAACCCACATTCGTTAAGATGTAGTATTTTGGGCTTTAATGGGCCTAGAATGATCCATCTTATTTCTAATTGGGCTCTAAATAGGCCACATTCATAAAACTTTAGCATTTTGGGCCATGTGGGCCTAAAATAATCCATCTTACCTCTAATGACCCTTGTTGGGCCATAAAAGATTTCATTTGCCCCAATGGGCCGAAAATTTATTTTTGGGCTTCATAAATTCGAGTGTGGGCCCAAGAGGATCTCTTTCCTTTCTCTTAAGCCCAAATCGGCCATGTTTATTAAAAAAAAAAAAGAAAGAAAAGAATGGATAAATGAAGACCAAACATGCATGTGACAACTCATGTTTAACCACCATATATCTATGGTAGCATCTCATGTTTCAAGACTAACTATTACCTCACAAATAACAAGGTTATGATCTCTCTCTCCCTTCTCTCCATATTCTCAGCCAACCCTCTCACCACCTTCATTTTTCTTTCAAAAACTCTCTTAAACACTTTAAAAAACCTCTTCCCTCTTCCATCAAAAATCTCGAGTTGGTGTGTGCTTTCAAGAGGACTCTTCACCAAAAATCATCATCCTAGGTAAGTTTTTACTTATATCCATGGTTTAGCTTCTTGATTTCTTCAAAATCTCCTCTTAACCCTTTCTATTTCGTGAATCATACATCATAGAGCAATCTAAGTTGTAAAGCTCCTCAAGAAGCTTGCTAGGGCCAAAAACCTCTTCACATCTTCATCAAAAACCGAAACCTTCAAAAAAGGTGAGCTTCATACCCCCTTATTTTCGATTTTTATAAGTTTTTGTGGGGGAGAATACAAGCAAAGGTGTAGATCTATCATTATGTGTATGCTTTGTATGATTTCTATGCTTATATGTGTGTTTGGTATGATTATGATGTTGGATCTAGTCATAAATCACTAAAAACCGAGATATATTCTATGTTAAATGATACTAACATAAAACATACTACTACATACAAAGTATACCAAGAAAAATAGCTAAGTGGCTTAACAATACATACTTTGGGCTAAAAACTCATTTTTTTAACATAAATGTTAAAAATACAAAGTTGAAAGGCCCAAAATGAAATATTTCGAAATCTGATGGGTGAGATGAGTCAAAACAGTTTCCATAATGTATTTTCTGAAAATATACTCTTTTGGAGGATTAAAAACATAAATTTCAACCTTAATGGGCTAAAAATGACAATTTCGGCCCAATAGGGCCCATTATGCGAAATTTTCTGTTTTGGAGGGCCAAAACTGTGTTTTTCTGTAAAACAGTGGACTACTAGTGTTACAAGTACTTTTCAAAGGTTTAAAATGCTTTTCAAATTTAAAAAGGACCAAAGTTGCAAAATTTTTCCAATTGGGGCCAAAATTGTAAAAATTGCGAAAAAGAGGGGTTATAACCGAGAAAACTGCAATTTCAGGGACTTCAACTGTTTTCAATGAAATATATGCTGAAAAATATTAATTTCAATAATTTTTGGTGTTAAAATTTCAAGAAAAATGATTTAAGGACCAAACCGGAAAGTTATTTAATTAGAGGGTTGAAAAAGTAAATTTTATAAACAATGAGGGGCTGAAAACAGAAAACTTTCAAGGCTAATTCAATACACGCAACTTGATCGAATATTGGCACCGCGACTACCGACACAATACACAACAATACCAAAAATCGTTGTTAAACGAATTGATTCGGTCTCGAATCAATAATAAATCCAAAACTACTAACACTACAACGCTCAATACACATATGGAACTCTCGGAACTCTATACTCTCGTGGAGTTACTCAATACGTCGATGTACATTCCTTAGGCCCAAAAGTTGCAAATCATGCTTGTTGAGCCTAGCTAGCCCGATAACATGATCTTTAGGCCCAAAGGATACTTGCTTACATGTAGTTGGGTCTAATACGACTTAACCGTGTGTAAAAGGACTTTCAATGGCAAACGTGCTGCTGGTCCCCAAGGGTCCTTCGGTGCTGCTAGTAAAGTCGGGAACTCACGATTGCTGGTTGGGCTTCGGGCCCTTCGCAATTGCAATGGTCTTGAACGACGTAGGGAAATACCGAGGGTTTCGCACCTTCTCTTTTTCTCTTCGGTCGTGGGACTACACAAGTCCGGGAGGATTGAGTTGTGTGAATAAGTGCGAGTGACGCCTAAGGGATCGCTAGTACGGTTGTCAACTGGACGTTTTCATTAACGGACGTTACAACAATTCACCACCCACTGTATACTCAATGCCTCCGGAGCTCAACGAATACCTCTAACGTAACGAAACAATAACACATAAACTAATTAAAGCAAAGTGATAGGAAAACATCAGGTTTTCCTAGGGTTTTCAACTAGTACACTTACGAATTACATGCCGAATTTCACAACTCATACGCTTACATCTATAGAAAACAAACAAGCAGACTCACGGATCTTCACACTTTTTTTTACGTTATACTATTTTCAGAAAATATCGGATTTTCTGGTGGTTTTCGAAACAATACAAACATTGGATTTCAAACATTACTTATGAACTCACCAACATTTCATATGTTGACGGTTTTTCAAAATACTTGTATTCTCAGGTAACAGATAAATCGAAGGGATAAGTGTACTCAGTGACGTTTTGCTGCTTGTTCAATTAGCACCGAACAATCTACTTTTTGGGCATGTAATGTTAGGGAACAATGTACTAAATGTAAACGCTACCAGTTGTATTATTCCAATGCTTCGTGATGTATGATGTTATGTTTCATGTATATTCATTGTGATGGTATTCAATTAAGTCACAACAGCCCCCGGACGTTTCCGCCGTCTGGTTCGGGGGTGTGACAAGGTACCCCTTGCCAAAACCTATCCATAATCATATAGAAATAAGAAAATATTATAAAATGTCAAACACATAAGCAATACGATTTTACCTTTGTTGTTCCTTGAGCTTATTCAACTTCAACCTTATGGAAGGACATGTGTTTAAATCCCAAGATTGACCCTTGTTCATGTATATACACAACCTTTCCATTACATAAATTCGGATTTCTTCTACAATGGTAATGAGTGGTTTCTTCCTAGCAGCTTCTATCACTGAGTTAAAACTTTCAAAAACACCATTTTCATATGCATCACAACTCTTATCAACCTGAAAAAAATTATTTACACCAGTTTTTAGGGTCCCTTGCATCAAATGTTCATAAGCTAGTGGTTCCAGCTTCTTGATTTCATTCATATGGTAATCAAATTTTTGTGGAATTGTAGATCCAATAGCTCTCCAAAACAGCTTCCTAAATATTTTTCCCTTAAATCTTTTCTAGAAATTAGCATAGATGTGCTTAGCACATTGCCTATGCTCTGCAGCTGGAACGCTTTCCTTCAAAGCTTCAACTAATTCCTATAATCAATACATACAAAGCATAAGCTAAAACATATTAAGTATGGAAAATAACAATAAGTGAAGTTTGAACATTACTTTGTGTTAGTCTAATATTATGGTTAGTTCATGCCCAACTCCCATTCCAATGTCATCAATCTGAAGATCAAGAAGCCACTTCCATGTGTCTTTATTTTCCACTACAACCACAGCTCATGCAACAGGATATATGTGGTTGTTTGCATCCCTCCCAATGGCTGCAAGCAACTGGCCTTTGCATATTCCCTTTAAGAAACAACCATCTACTCCTACAACCCTCTATCCATCCATCCTTCAAACCCTTTAAACACACATAAAACTTTGAGAAGTATGTTTCTACATCAGGCATCACATCCATCTCCATCTGAACTGTTGATCTAGGATTTGTCCTTTTTAGCTCTTATCCATAGCTAGGGATGTCAAAAAGTCCTGTGGGGACCCCATTCCACTAGGGCCCCCGTCTCGTTTGGGAGATTTTTTAAAAAACATCAAGGGTAGGGATGGGGGTGGGGGCAAGGTTAACCCTCATTTTAATTTCGACGGTGGGGGCGGGGGTGGGAAGGCTGAACATTTACACATATATTTACATATATTAATTATATACATATAATAAAAAAATAACATTATTTTGAGCTTCCAAAATTCATGAAAAACATGTTTCTAAGTTATTAGTATAATGGTTTTAAGATGTCATAACTTTTTTATTTTTAACATGTAAAATCCTACTATAAATAATTATTTGTTACCTAAAAAATATCTTCTTTTAGCCTAAATAACAACTTCTTTTAGCCCAAAAAGAGTCAGCCTAAAATCAATCGAGAGCAGGGTTGGGGGTAATAAAGGGGATTCAGGGGCAGGAGTTGGAAGGCTGAAGATTTCAGGGGTAGGGACGGGGATAGGGTAACGGGAAAATTTCAGGGGCGGGGGATGCACTCCCCATCCTATTATCCCCCATTGACATCCCTATCCATAGCTCTATGTTTTGGCATAATGCTCTATTAAAATACCTTCTATCTACTGAAATACATATTTCTTAGCATTTTTGCACTGTCCAACACTTGCTATCAGGTTAAACCTTTTACTGACCTTAGCTTTTAGTTTCCTAATGCTCATCTTTGGTTTCTATAATATCTCATTCATGAAATGAGTTCCAATGCATTTGTAGCTTACAATAGACCCAAATTTGAATACTCCTGAACAATTATTCCTATCAATTAAGGACTTAATCTTCAAAGACCTCTCATTCATCCATGTTGCCCACAACCTAAAGGGACAACTCTTATTCTTCTTATGTTCAGAACATTTTGCCAATAACTTTTGATGATCATTTTTATACCATAAATCATACCCATTCTTTACGGAATACTTGTTTAGACATAGCTTCAATTCAAGAGGGTTGGAAAACTTCATACCTAAAACTATGACCATTTTATCCCATTCTTGATTCTCATCAAAGACACGTAACATAACCTCATCATCTTCATCACTGGCATCATCATCATTGTCATCATTTACTTCTTCTTTGTTACTATTAAGAATGGGTTTACCACACAACTTGTTAAAAAGATCATCAACAATTGTTTTCTAAAAGTATACACCTTTTCATCAGGTTCATGCTCACATTCCATTATATATGAAATATGTGAGTCTGTATCATCATCTTCTACCAACTCAAATACCTCATCACCTGTTAACATCTCCTTATCGGCCCAGTCCAGAATAGGTTCGTTTTGGTGGTCAATGTAAACATTCATTCTTAGCTCGTTCATAGCCATGTAACCATCTTCAACAAACTCAAAATAATCAACATCATTGTTGATTCTTCTAATACCATCTGTCAATCTTTCATGAGTACTACAATAGTACAAATTATCACAGCTTCGTCTTGTTATCTTTGAAACTCACAACACAAATTCTCTATAGTTCATGCCACCAAATTCCACATCACAAACTGACATTGTCATATGATCTAAGTACACTAACGGGTTTGGTGCAAACATTCCATTGTAGTGAAATTCTACAGTGAGATACATACTATTAGGTGATTCCATTGTAGTATCTACAGTCGACGACTCTGAGTCCCAACTTTAGTTCCAAACAATGAGCTCCTATTGCTTCGATCGAGTGATTTCTCAGAAAAGTTAATTAATTGGCTGGCCTTGGTGCCTTAGACCCATTGGTATGGTGAGAAGTCTTACCTAACACTACTAAAGTCCCGCGGATGAACTTCCAGCTACTGGTTGATAGATTCTCGAACTTCCAACATCAAACAATACACAAATTAATGTTTGGGTTCCAAGACCAAGGTCCAAATCACACTCCAAAGGCCCAAAAACCAAGTAATGGGCAAAAACCCAACATATGGCCCAATTTTCCAAATTGGGCCCAAACCTCTATATGGAATTATTCAAGGCCAACCAATCATTATAGGCCAGACATTAGGCATTCCCATAGCCCAACCTCTCACAGTCCTCAGGGTGCAGTTGTGGCCCACTTATGGCCCGATTTTCGCAATTGGTCCCAAGCCTCTCTAACGAGTCTGATTCTAAGGACCAATGATTTCCTAAGTCCATAACATGTTCATTAAGGCCCACAACAACTTAGTTCAATAAGTAGCCCAATAAGAACCCAATTCCAATTAAGGTTTTTCACATAAATGTCGATTAGGGTTAAGTCTCCCTACTTATCCCATTAAGGACTTAATCCAATAGGTCCAATATTTCCTTTAAGTTAATTTTCCATTATATGTTAACTAATATTTGAAGTTCATTAAATAATCCTGATGCGGTCCCGATAAGTCCTGAATTAGGGTTTCATGGCATTAGGGTTTTCCAAACCCTAATTAGGGTTTCCAACTCATCTTAGCGTAATAGGCCCAATAGCTAGTTCCTTTGACCAATCAAGGTTTATTAGGCCTATTAGTCATCTATTGGGCTTTTAGGTCCATTAAGCTTCATTGGGCGCATTAGGGTTTATTAGTCCCTTTGTCCAAACATCCAAACGGGTCATGATGCAACAAGGCACACCGCCACCCGACACGACGGCTGGTGGGTGCAGAAGGCGGCAACCACCACCTCACGGTGGTGGTTTGATTTTTCCTTTCATATTCCAATTTGTAATTTACACTTTAAAATGCTAAATCTCAAAATAAAACACACACTAAAAAAAATAAACACACACAACCACCTTGTGGTGGTCGGTGGTGGTAGAGGGTGGTAGGCACCACCTCGTGGTGGTGGTAGTGGGGTCTTTCACTCGGGTTTCCAACCAAGTATCATTCCAACAGCCTCATAGTTACACCATGACCGAACACAACCACCACAATCACTTCTGGCCGTGAATGGGTCCAACCACCCCTCCAGGTGGCACAAAACGACGGTGAGGGCTACGTAATAATGACGACAGTGGCGGTAATCTTCATGAATGACCACAACCAGAGAGAGAGGGGAGTTTGGAGTGGGGAAATGGTGGCAATCCACCTCAAAAAAAATAACCACAGCAGCACAGTGGCCTTCGGTAGCGACCTTGACGTTCACAATGTCCAACACTGAGAGGAACGATGGGAAGGAGAGAGAGATGGCGATGAAGACACTGGAGGTTGACGGTTCAAGCTAATGACACCGTTGATGGATGGGAACGACAACCACACCCGCCCGACATCAAAATTCAGCTGCCTCGACTGCTTCAACGATGACTTGAGGTGGTGTATAACTGGAGATAGCGACAGCAGCAGACTTGTGGCGGCTTCATGACGTCAATGACTAGAGCAAGGCGGCGTAAGGGTGGCGGTTCACCAGCTTCAACAGACGAGGGAACAACAATGGGTGGTGGGGGGTTATGAGGCTTGCAGCCGTAAATGTGAGTATGACGCCCAACCTGTTTCCTTAGGTTTAGGGTTTCATAATTTATAAATACCCGTTCACACAAACATATTGCCATATTAGCAGAATTGGTCCCTCCCCCATCAGAATCTTTCTAAACTAGCCCGTAATTTACCATTTAAACCCTGCCCCATGAAATCCTTACAATTAGATCGAAACATTACCAAACAGCCCTCAACATTCTAAATTCCTGTCAATTTAAGTCCAATGATCAAACTTCAGCTATGTTAACACTTTTTACACCCGATCTTAAAAATTGTGACATTAGCTCTTCGAGACCATCCTTTTATATATAATTATTTATTTTAGGGCTACAATTCGTTCATTAAATTTATTTATTTATCTAATGAATAAACAGGGTGTTACAACTCTCCCCCACATAAATTAGATTTCGACCTCGAAATCATCCCTTACCATCACTTACACGCATAGCAAATTGGCTAACATGGTCACAATCTTGGGTACACCCTAGCCCTCCCAGGGTAACCGTGCACAACCTTTTCAAGGAAACCATAACCCACTTTAGCAGGGTTCTAAAACCTAAAGATGAACGAATTTGCTGCACCAAGATCACATTTACCACGTCTGAATTCCGCAGTCTCGAAAGGGTATGTCTCCCTGACAGACCACCCGCACCGAATCGTTGTCGAATTCACTACACTTATCTCCAAACTGGCTACGCAGCTTCTGATAACCTAAGGTTCCCACTAGGAAATAGAGTCACAAACCTAACTTCCCTGGAGTACAATTTTATATGCCCGAAGCTCAGATAATACCTCGAAACAACGGGTATCTGATCGATTGCTGAGCTAAAACACACTCAACAATCCCACGCGACCTCTGGAGGATACGCCGTTTGACAATAACTACCCTAACTATACTGCCACTCATGGCTCATCTAATCCTTCTGATCCATTTGATCATGATAGGATGACAATCTTTTGCACCTGAATCCGATGCACGAAAAGGTGGATGCTACCAGAATAACTGTAGTCTTCAATCATACCTGGTCCCTTCGACCTACCGTTTCCTGATTTAATTATGTTGTGACCTACTCACAACCTTGTGAACTGGCCCAGACTGGCCTAAGTTATCTGAATGACTTCGTGAATGTTGTAGCTACCCTGCAGTCTTTCTACATTTCCCGTACTATGTGACTATTGGTGAATGCTACGGCTCCCCGTTAGTCTTACAACACTTTCACCCCACTGACCATGAGTGATGCTACCATTCCCGCGTAGTCTTACAACACTTCGATAACAACTAATCATTAGTGAATGCTATGGCTCCCCCGTAGTCTTATAACACCTCCATACCATCAGACCATTAGTGAATACTACGGCTCCCCCGTAGTCTTACAACACTTCCATACCAACGAACCATTAGTGAAGGCTACGGCTCCCCCGTAGTCTTACAACACTTTCATCCTAACACAACCATATCCAAATACCTTACCGAATCCTAGCGAGACTAATAATCTCAAACGCCTTGAAATGATGCCCCACCTATATCTTGATGTTCGAATAACCGATATCTAGGCCAAGGCCTCAACAGTAAACCACTTCCCCTAGCGCTTCTAAAATCCGACTCGAGCGTAATGGACGAGTCACCAATCCTGTCCGTAGGCCTTCCGCATCATGTCCCTGAACCAATCTCGACCCTAAACCCATATAATACTGAATACTCCAAACCAGCAAAGAGGGAAACAACTTTTCACTAACCACCCCGTAACTCACGGTATGCAAATGACATATGAAAACTATTCGAATGCATAGTCCAAACACAAACAGAGCAACACACCCAGAGATACACTTAGTAAAATCCTCGGAACAAAAACTCCCTCGTGCAACTTCCTGCAAGTACCGCACTAAACTCGACCCTGCTGGCCTCTCACAACTTACTCGAACCCTTGGGTCCCCTTCTGGGACCCTCTAATGTATGTAGCTGATATGATTCCCCTCTTTTCTAATGGGCTCCACGTCAATCCCTGCTCTCGAGCTCTAGAAATCATATCAATCAGGGTCTCGTACCCTGGCACACTCAACAACTCAATTGTCAATGGCTGAACTGCAATAGTTAGAGCAACCTCTGCTCTATATCAAGCTACTAACTGTTGGATTAGTGTCTAAGTCCATAACTATTTTGGTATGTACTTGACCCGATGGTGCATGGTCCTTTTGGGTTGCCTTCACCAAAGCAACTTGATAGGATGAATTATGGAGAGTAAGGATTAAACATGATTTATAAATGTATTATGAGAATAATATATTAAAGGAGAAATCATATTGTTTAATTAATATTAGTCAATAATTAATTGGTAATTAGTTTTGTGACTAAAAGAGATTAATTAAACTTAAGGGACTGGAATTGTAATTATAGGATAATTGCAATTTGGGCCATGGATTGCCTTGTATCAAGGGTTGGACGAATTCTATGGGGAAGCCCATAAGGAAATCGTCCAAGGGCTTGATTAAAAGGAGTCTATGGGTTGCTTAGGGCTTAAGCATCCAAATTAGGGTTTCCTTGTTAGATAACCCTAATAGCCCAACTCTATACAGACCCCTTAAGGCTAAAAAACGTGGCTAAGCATCTTGTAAGGGTTTACACACGTTTTGGCAGCCTCCATCATCTCTCTTATGGTGTTTGTAAGCCATTAGAGTAGTGAAACTTGTGACTCTAAGCCTTCCAAAGTCAATACAAGGAGGAATTGGGATTGTTATTGCTACATAACAATCAAGGTATGATCTCAAACCTTATTACATATTAATATGATTACTTGTATGCTAGAATTAGGGTTTATAGTCTTGGATTCAAACCATGTACAATAGAGAAACCTAGATCCAAGCATTAGGGTTTGTATGAGCACATAGGATGTCTTATGACCAAAACCCATCAGTGGTATCAGAGCCTTGCTTGGTTTCAATTGTATTGATGCATTGTATAACTGGAAAATTCGATTTTTTGGATTCTGGAGGCTGGACTCGCCGAGTCCATGGCTGAACTCGCCGAGTCCATGCAGACTCGACGAGTCCATGCTTGACTCGACGAGTCAACTCGTCAGATAATGCTTATCTCGAAATTTCTTGCTGTTTTTGCACATGGATAGTTACCTTATCATGTTAGATCAATATTAATCCGATTATATGATATATTTGACTATATTTTTGATC